CGTGCGTGCGTGCGTGCGTGCGTACCAAGGGACAAAGCATTGAAGAATTTTGATTGAGTTGTGTAGTCAGCAGGGGGTCGGAGCGTGCATTGAGAGTCTCCTGCCAACGGAGACGCTCTCGTTGCATAGTGTTATATAGAAGGGACGCCTTCTTTACGTACCTGCACAGCGAATGGCAACCAGGCCAAGCCACAAACCTGGCAAGTCGACAGTGAAGTAGACATTGATGTGCTCTTTCAACATGACATGTGGTCAGGGTAGTTGCAATAGTCGTCATGATAGTGGTAGCGCCAGAGGGAAGTGCTAGTGCTAGTGGCAATAATAGTCGTCGTCGTCGTGGTGGGGGTGGTACTAGTAGTAGTAGTAGTAGTAGTAGTAGTAGTGGTAGGAGGTCTGCGACTTGATACACCAGGATAGCGGTGGCTGTTGTAGTCGAGCCATAGCCTCGCAAAAGCTGGGCCGTGTTTCGCGGCGTCTTTCACAGATCCTTGGTGGAAAACCTACAACGATTTCCCCAAAACTGCCACACTCTGATTCTGACGCCGGTTTTACAACACTCGTTGCTGTAGGCAAGACCTGCTCACAAGTTTGGTTTGGGCTGTTCCTGGCCGCAGAATCTCTGAGGAAGCAAGTGCCCACACCAGTCCATGGTTTCTAGGATTCCAAATCTCAAACCCTGGTTTTGGTGTACTGTGGGCCTGGGCAGTAAAGGGTACACCCGCAGCATGATAGCATGCTTATTATGGGTCTCATGTGTCCCAAGTCTGTTACGTGAAAACTTGCGCGGATTATTGTTTTCCTTTTGCGGACCCATCGCAAATCTTTCGCGGACACATTCTTTTGCATCAAAAAACCGCTTTGTATAAATCCGAAGACAAGGACCTGTAGATCAATGCTCATGTCTTTTAATTGTCATGGTGGCTGGAGACCTTGCCGCTGAAAGTAGAGAGTAGCTGGAAAACGATGTCAATCAGAGGGAGGATTGCACGAGTGTGTCTGTGTGTCTGTGTGTCTTTGTCTGTGTCTGTGTCGGTGTCTGGGTGTGTGTGTGTGTGTGTGCGTCTGTCTCTCTGTGTCTCTGTGTCTCCGTGTCTAAAGTTGTCTGTGTCTCGGTGTCTCTGTGTCTCGGTGTCTGGGTGTCTGGATGTCTGGGTCTCTGTGTCTCTGTGTCTCTGTGTCTCTGTGTCACTGTATGTCTATGTGTCTGCGTGTCTGTGTGTCACTGTGTGTCTGCGTCTCTGTGTGCTCATGTGTCTGTGTGTCTGTGTCTGTGCGTGCGTGTGTGTGTATGTCTCCGTGTCCTGTCTGCATCTGTGTGGCTGTGTCCAAGTATCAGCATTGCACGAACCACGCTGGATTCGATCAAGCCTTGCATTAAACGAAGCTGCAAACAAACATCATTGACGAACTCAGTCAAGAGAGTTGCCAACCAGATCGGTCAGGCCTGCACAAACTTCTGAAACCTCAACGGATCGCAGGCAAGCACCATCTTCCAGCCGCCAGTAGCAGATTCTGCCATCTCGCCCTCCGCTCACGGCGAAGCCTGCATTGGGCAGGATCTCACGAATGCACAACAATGCACAGCAACATAGCTGCAAGATCATGAACACGTTGGGCACGTTTGCCCCGAAGCTTGTGGTGCAAACGGTATGTTTCAAGAAAGCTGTTGTTGCTCGCATGGTGATTGTTGGGTTTCATCACGTGTATCAGGAACCTACGATAACACTGGCAGGCACGATGAATTTGGGATTCGACAAGACAAACAGCATTGTGGACGACAGGAGAAACCGTTGCGATGTGATATTGTTGTAACCAGCTTTGAAGGGTCGATGCGGGAGGTCGAACTTTGGAGTTCGTAGTTTCGATTGGGGATGCTTCGAGCAATTGCGCCGGACGGAAACCCTTATTTGACTTATTTTGCGTGTGCACTGACGTCACTCTGCCAGGCCAAGCCAGGACGTGTCTGTCCAGGCTATGACGGGAGAGACTTTGTCTTCACGGAACACTTTGGAACATGGAGGCTCTGTTCTCCGAACCCGCTAAGAATCACTCGAACATGGACATGAATGCTCTGTTCTCCGAACGCACTAGAACCTGGACGTCATTATGGTTACGGCGCTCCGTCCAGAACCGCAGATGAGACTGCTCCAGCGCAGAACCAGTTCGCCAGCAACATCCATTGCAAGAGAGAGTGTCCACGGCCCCTGAAGCCCAAGGTGACGAGCTCAAGGCCAAGACTTCAAGATTGAGGGTTTACAGGGTTTCCGCTGTAGTTTGAAGGGCTTAAGGAGCTTGATTTGATCAGCCTTGTCGTCATGAGGCATCATCACCGTGTTCATCATCAGTGCGAGCAGCAGCATCGGCAGCAGCATCGTTCATGACAGAAAAATCCGGGCCAAATGTGCCCAGCCAACGCAGCCAAGATCACGCTCTTCGCGGATTTTGTTGCGAAGGTAATTTCAGCTGCTGCCGTTTGAGCTGTCGTTGACTCGCGAAACACGAAGACCATGCCTCGCGTGGAGATGCGTGGAGCAGATCCAAAATTTGCAAGCACCTTGCACGAAAGCATTTAAATCGCCCCGCTCTTGCATTTTGCTTCAAACCCTTGTCAAAGTGAGGGGTTTCTCCGGGTCGTGGAAAAACGCGACGGTTGGGAAAAATCGTGAAGACACACAGTTTTGAAGCCCACAGCATTTCCGCTCCCGAAGAAAGATGCGGGTCTGCTGCATCATGGGGCGACCTTCCATACGACCTGCCAGGTGCTAAATGTTGTTTCAATGGTTTTGGCGAGGCTCACAGAGCAGAGATCTCATCCTTCAAGCCAGAATTTTATCCCCAACGCTGATCTCCCTCTTTGCGCTGGGAGCTCAGAGCTGATCGCCCAGTGGGATTGCAGACTCAACGTGGCTGGTGGAGCTTTGGGTGCCTCTTGCCGCACATGTGAACACGACACAAACCCGTGACATTCGCAGCCTCAAGCATGCCCAAGCGTAGTCAGCCTACACAGCATGAATTATCATCGAAGCGACAGAAAGCTCCAGAACACGTCCCAAACGAAGAAAGCTTGCTGACTCTCCCTCCCAAAAGGAATCCCAAGTCTCGCTCGCCTCGCCTGCTTGCGCCTGGGAAATGCAGAGCACGCCGTCCTTGGAAGGGACTGACATGGCCCTGACATGGCTGTAACTTCTACACTTGCTTTCATTATTTTCTGAAGCACTCTGCCTTCCTTTGGTGGCTTTAAAACTGCGTGCTAAATAAGCCCCAGACGGTGTGGCCAGACATCTTCATTTCAACATTTCCGGACTTGGTGTCCCAAACCTGAATCTGGCCTTTCTCGTCCCCCGCCAGCACTGAAACGGCTGGACTGGACGGGCTTGAGAGGCACCTGTCACATTTCGTAAAACAACATGAAGCACGATCAACTTGAAAGTACCCAAAGCACCTGATTTGTGCATCTCCAACTGGAAAAGTCTCCAGAAGTACCGCATCTCGGAGATTCCACCTCCGCAAAGTTTTATCCTCGGATTGCAGGTCTGACTTAACAGAGTCATCGAGCTCTTGATGCCCAGTACTGCCAAACCACACATCGGGATCCTTTCTACTTTTTGATACCCTTTTGCGGATGTGCAAAACTTGCACAGTCTTCAGGTTGCAACCCACTTTCGACCGAAGCAACTTCCATTCACATCCGAGCAGAAAAATGCGGGTACTTTCGCACAGGTATGCCAAAAACGAAGCCAGGACACGCGAAAACTCTGTCTACATTTTCGGCCTTGGCCAGGTAGCCTCCTCGGAACCACCAGACCTCTATCCGAATCTGATTCACTTAGTCGGGGCCCTTCGGTCGCAGGCACAGCACAGAGACAATTCGGCCTTTAGACCGCCACTCTCGACTCTTCAGGTGATCAGCTTTAATTAATTGAACGAACCCTGAGCTCTGTGACGCTGTGAGTCAAACTGAACTCTTGTAAACTCAGTGAAAGGCTGTGTATCACACTCCGGCGAAGTGCGTCTGTCTTTGATCTGCAATACTCACTGTCAAAAGACTTTTGATTGGCAGTCACAGCTGCAGACGCAAAGGGAACGAGCAAAAAAGAACGAGACCGGCGTCTCTGCACTCTTCAGATGTCGTCAACCACAAGTTACTTTTGCTGCTGCGGCCAGGTCTTAGGTGCGTTCAAGCTGGATTCTGATTCTTGGTATCTTTCAAGATGACGGCCAGGGATGATGTGCCAAGGTGTGAGAACCTCTCCTTCACTACTGTTCGCAGCGCTTCGCTGACGCATTGCAAGATGAGATGCTTCTCAATGCTGTCCGGCACCAACACGCCGTGTCACAACATGTGTACAGTCGACTGAGGTTGCGACCGCAGAAGCAGAGACCATGATCTGCTCTGCCCAATCGACTTGAAGCGAAAGTACTGGAGCAGAGTGCGCCGCGAATGTAGCCAGCTGCTGTGCCGGATGTTCGGCGCTGTTGCTTTTGGAAGATATGTCCCACCTCTCACATTCGTACAAGTGAAGCACCTCCCTTGTGACATTGACATAGCATTATGTCTCGACCGTTTCGACATTGCAGCCAGGATTCAGTTCGATCAGCTTGCCACAGCCACAAGCTGCCCTGTGCATCTTCCAATTAACAACAAGGCATCCGATGCCACCAGGTCCTCCACGGATCAAGTGGTCGATTTGACAACCATGGAACTTCTAAGCCCTAGGAAACTTCATCACATGTCCGACTCGCTAGTGTCTGTTCTTGCAGACCATAGTTTTCCTCGCAACTGCGTTTTGTTAACCTGATGGATCCTCAGCCTAACGACTTTCTGGTGCCAGCGCCTGATCCAGCGAAGGAACGCAGGGGAGTCGAGCTGTCCAGTCTCCACATCTTCAAGTCGGATCCCAAACTCCCGCTGATCATGCGATGATTTTTCCAGTCAACGTCAACGCACCTGCTTCTGGATGCATGCATGCTGCAACATCGAGTTAGCATGTGACTCCCACAAGTGCTGCGATCGCATCTGTGTCGTTAACTAGTGTGGGAATGCTGCTGCATCTAAGTAGCAAGACCTCCGATGGATGTCCAGCATAGGTCCGAAGCACATTGCCGTAAAAATTCCACATCTTCAGTGTGTGGTCAGCTGATGCGGTCACGACATTCCTCACAGCAGATCTGGCAGGCGTTTGGCAACCGATTTTTACTACGCAAAGCCGGTAGCCTCGAGGACCAATCCACGGCGAAGCAGTTGAGGTTGAGCTTATGCGGATCCTCTGCGAGGAACTGACGATCGTTCGCTCGCGTAACGGTCGCTCTTGGGTGAAGCATCTTGGTCCAGGCCTTCACCTTCTCAAAGTGCCTTATATCCTCAGCGGGCCAGCGGCCAATCCACTGCTTCAATTCCCAAGCTGCAAGTGCCGCATGCAGCACACTAGGTCTTGGCAGGTGCTAAGAGCATGGCATCCTCGACATTGGTATATCCTCGCACCGGCTTCAACGGAGCATGTCAGCGGCGAGATATCGCCAGATGCATAGAACCTCTCTGCACATCTGTCTGCGGTTCAAGGAGCTCTGGTTGTGCGGTGTCCGCACCCCCATCGCTTCCAGAACACTACCACTTTTGTCGAACTGCTTGATCTCGCCTGTCGAGGAAAGCGGAACTCAGCTCCACCGAGTGGAGACAGCACAGCTTCGGGACGAATCAGCATGTTGATGTCTTTGCTGCCTGTATAGGTAACAGCCATAACAGCATCAAAGGGGATTGCTGCCACGGCTGCAGCCTCTGATTGGCTTCTTTCCAGCGCGGCTTGCAGATCGGGCACCAGGGATGTCTGCTTCTTCTTGGCGAGGGTCTTCTTTCCGCCCTGTGTCCAAGCCACGAACTCATTGTAGTCAATCGCACCTCAGCGAAGCAAAATGCAGCAATTGGCGTGCACTACGCGTGGCACTACAGCAGCCGATGTGCCTAACCGCCAGCACAAGTGGTTTGGAATCTCTGAGACACACTTGCACAAAGACTTCAGGGCCGGAGGCACGGAGAACGAAATCTCGGCGGCTTCCTCATCCGACAGATGTCCGCCGTCAGCGGGCTTTTATCCCGCGGGAGTACTGTAGTAGTCGTCGTCATCGTAGTAGTAACAGTAGCAGTAGCAGTCCCAGTAGCAGTAGCAGTACCGGCAGTGGCAGTAGTAGTAGCATGCTGGCCCCTGGAGGTTCTCCGGAGACCATGTCTTGGTATAAGAGAAGAACTTGTTGCAAGAGCTCGAAAGTACCGCAAATACCACTGATTTTGCACTTACGGAACATAGCTATGCTACTCGGAACATGTTGTCTTCGCGCGTACTTATGGCTGGGAAGTACGCACGCAAAGATGTTAGAAACAAGGTTTAGGCACACGTCGAACAACGAAAACATGCGAAAACTCGAGGTGTTGTCTTCTGTGAGCGCACAGTAAGATTGGAAAACATGACGAAACCCCTGCGTTCCATGGTGTATTCGCAAGAGGGCACCGGACTCATTGGTATTTACAGTACTTCGTACACCTCGACAGAAACAAGGAATCCCGATAGTCGTGGTTTGATGTGGTGTTTCGGTTCACAGTTATGGGTTTCGTCTGCTGTTGCCTGAAAGAAAACATGCAAAAACTCGAGGTTTTGTCGTGTACAAGTGCGGAGAAGTACTTCAGCACATCAGGAAAACCTTGCGTTTCACGGTGTATTTGCAACAGACTAGCCAATTCACTGGTATTTGCAGTACTTCGCACACATGGAGAAAGACAGAGTTTACCGTTAGACTTCAGCAAAGTTCAGGAAATAACATCATCATGAACCATATCATCATCAAGATCATCATGAAGATCATCATCAAGATCATCATCAACATCATCGTAAACATCATCATCATCAAGATCATCATCAACATCAACGTGAACATCATCATGAACATCATCATGAACATTATCATGAACATCATCCACCTGTCATGAGCATCATGTCGCCATCGCAATGTCGCG